CAATATTCTGCATAAGCCGTTAATTTAATTTGAGTAGTTTGTTAATGATACATAGTTGGCCTTGGAGAGTTCAAGATATATAATAAAATTGGGATGTTTACTAGTCCAAGCACACAATTGACTTAGTTACTTAAGCCCGTTTGTCAACGTCTGCTATGAAGCTAAATCTGTAATTAATATTAAAAGAATAAAACGAAACAAATGACTCATAACTTAGTTTACAAATTGTTCTGCAAGGAAGTGTAACACCGTTAGGACTTAGTGTCAATTTTAATTATGTTGCTGCCGCTGAAATGAGGTCACGTATTGAATTGATAATTGAGAGCTCTAGATTTTCGAGGTTTACTAACTTTAACATAATATTCAACTTAGCTGCTTCGCACAAAGGTCGAGGAGAGTAGCTCTTTTCTAACTTTGAAATTGAAGTGCAATGGTTTGGTTATTCAAATAAAGGCCATTAGCGAAGATATTCTTTTCATAGATTAACCAGTCTCTTTTTAAAAGTGACATCACCTACTATGAATAAGTTTGGCAAATTGAATTATCATTTAGCCTCAAAGAGCTCCTACTGGTTATACAGTTCGTTTATGTGGTGGAAGGAATTGGAATTGCGGTGAAACAGTTGTAGAATGTTCAAAATTTCGTATGCTACAATTCACCTCAAAACAACACAACAAAATTACATACCGACTTGAGTGGCTTTTCAGTTTGTATTCATGCGAAAAGCTTCGACACTGCTGAAACAATTGTATGTATCTCGCTATGACTTGTTTCCTTGACAACGGTAATTCTTTGTTTTTAACATAGTAACTGCTCAAATTGCCGGAAGAAACTGTCCAAGGATTTCAAGGCGGGACTTCGATCTTAGACTTCTGTAAAAGCTAAAAAGGTCAGGACCTGATAATGTTTTGGGCACATGCGACGGTACAGCAAACATTCATGCAGTTGTTTCTTTCTAAAGTTACAAACATTAACCCACAGTTGATTTTTTTAGACATCTTTTTTTCCCTTTGCAATGATAGACCATTCCACATGCGATTAGCCTAACAAGAACATTGTTCAATCTATGGCTTTCTTACACTGTATCCTGAGCCTTTAGTTATCTCCTCTGTCCTGTTTAAAAACGACATTCATTCCAAAATACCTCGATTATTGTCTTCTCTAGAAAAAATTCCCTCAGGAATAAAAAAAATCTTAGGCGGAATAAGGAGTCTAGTTAACTAAATATAAAAGGTTGCGAAAATGCAGCTTCAAGAGCTGAACATTATTGCTTTCCTTACAAAAAATGTTGCGAGTGTTACAGCAGGGAAATATCTGTTCGGAAGACGATTTGAGATCTAGAATTTTCGGAACATTTGTAAATTTCTTGCTTGCCTGCCTCTCCTAGGATTTTCGAACATCTAAAAAATGGCATAATTGCCCATTTTAATGGATTTTTACCCTAAAAAGGTCACCTAAAATTTTCGGGCGCCTTTTTTCTGGCTGAAATTTTCGAAAAGGTAAGTTTTGATCCCTATAATTTTCGGATCACTAGACTTTCAGCTAGGAAATCCGAACAGATGAAAAATTTTTAGGGGATAAAAATATGCCTATGTCTACCGTTTAAATACCCAAATACATTTAACACCGCTATGTTTAAGTGGTTTTGAACTATTTTCTCGTTGGGTGCCCCTCTTACAGGACCAAGGAACTAGCTAGCCTTACGATCATTTCTTCAGCGATTCGTTAAAATCAGAAAGATCCTTTAGGGAGCTGTGTCGACAATTTTTTGGTATTGCATTAAAACTCTAAGAGATCGAGACTGAAATAAGAACAAATTTGCAGAAGTCATGGTTCAGTCTTGCTGTCGATAACAAGGGTGTTAAAAAGGGCCAAATTTTAAATTTTAACTCTTGTGCTGTGGGAAAATTGCCTCCAAACCGATTCTGCTTTG